ATAGATTAACTTTGGAAAATTTGACATTTCAATAATATTTAGTCTTCCCATTCAGAAACACAATGTTTCTGAATTCATTTAGATATTTATTTAGATATTCCTCTCCATTTATTTAGATATTTCTTATGGTCTTTATTAATATTTTAAAACTTTCTTTTTTCTAAAGTTCTAGTATATCCTCTTTGATTGTTATTTGGTTTTGATTTTTTTGGTGGTGGTGCTATTTGAATACTATTTTTTCCCCTATCCCATATTTTAATTAATGGTTGATGGCATATGGGAAAGCTATTGATATTTTTATATTAATTTCAAATGTTACCACCCGAATGAATTCTCTTCTTAGTTGTCACAGCTTCTCACATAGTTGTATTGCAATGTCTTTCTTCATGAATTCACAGGCTACTCTGTGGCAGTACTGAACATGTATTCTCATTGAATTCTCCAGGCACCTATGAAATAGGGATCGTTACTCCCATTTTACACATGAGAAAACTGAGTCCAAGAGGGTTAAAAAACTGGCCACAGATTATACAAGTAGTAAGTGGCAGAGCCAAAGTCACACCCCCGTATCGTTAACCACGTTCACTCCACCTCTGCACCAGTGCATCTGTCAGGTGCTATGCTTTTTAACATATTACTGATCATCTTCAGCCCAGGTAGACCTTATTATCTCCACTCTATGGAGAGGAAATTAACATCAGAGAGGCTACTTGACCGGTTCAAGGTCACACAGCAAGTAAAAAATGGAGCTGGGTTCAAACTCAGTTCTGTCTGCCTCCAAAGCCTTAAACCAATCTCCTACAGATCAAATACCCCTGGCACCTTAACCCTTCATCATAGGACATGTTAGAGTCATTTGAGCAGAACATTTCCCCATCCTGGCTGCCCTTCTCTGGGCACAGTTTGTCAAAGGACCTTTAGAAATCTGATGTTGAGACCTGGTAAGAGAAATAGCTATTTCCCAAAAGGAAATAATGATATAAAATTAAATATTAGGTGATAACAGGAGTGTCAATGTAGGATCAAATGAATAATTGTGCTTGATAATGACTCTTTTTCTCTCTACAAATTCATGATGCTATTTGCTACTAAATGGGCATGTAGTTAAATCAAAAAAGAATGGAAATGCTTCCATATTTAGTAGTATTTTTTTTTACAATGGGTCATGGATATGTTCTCTTTACTTCCTTGTAAACATCTAGTCCCACAGCATGATTTATTGAAAAGAGCATTACTTTTAGAACAAAATACAGTTCCCAATTTGACCACTCAGATTTTCCGCCTTTTCATTAATTTGTCTATAAAACTTGGATAGAAATATCTATAACACTTGGAAAATTATGAAGTATCCTACAGGTTTAAAGGTAGAAAAAGAAGGATGGTCATATTGCAGAAGAAACAAGCCATTTTTGTAGCTCCAGTTTTAGGCTTTGTTCAACCCTCCTGCACCCTAACCCTAAAATGGTTATGTTCCTATAGCCTGGGTTTATTCTCACATCTAGTCATTTGTGTCTGAAAGAAAAATAAAGAGTGAGTAGGTCAAGTGACAAGTTAAATCCACAGATGGATAAAGACATTGCAATGCCATTGCAATGCTATGCTATTGCAATGCTTGTTTTTGCAATATCTAGTCCAGTTTCATTTTCTGGTATAGTTAAAATGCTGTGGGAAGCTTACCTGACACTGGAGGACATTGACTTTTGCAAGGTATTGTCTGCTTCTGAAGAAACCTCACTGATGCTCAAAGGAATGGGGTGGGGTGTCGGCACACCCGTGCAGTGGCAGGAAGCCTCAGAGGTGAGGGGAGGAGGCGGCACCAAAGGCAAGGCAGTTCTTCCCTGGACCAGATCTTGAGTTCTAAATAGGTTTCCAAGTTCATTGTCCTCAGGAACATGTAGGCTGCCAAGCCTGATGTTTAGATCTAGGTTAGTGCTCACACCACCCACAAATAAATGATTCTGTGTGGTTTAAGAAAAAATGGCCCATCCCTTTAAAAGAAGTTTTAAGCACCTAATTAATAAAAAGTTCTCTTGAATGTAAAGGTCATTCCCTAGCAGAAAATGTTTCTCTATCCTAAATGTTTCTCTAACCTATTCTAATAGGTTAGATTCCTTGCATTTTGCCCTCAGAGCATTGATCTTAGTTAAGAGCTAGCTGCTGGTTTCCTCACTGGTAGAAACTTGGGATCTCTGAGCCAGAAGCCAGGGAGGTTTGGCAGAGTGGAGTTGTTCCTCACCTTCCCTCAGGGTCCATAACAGCACATCTGTATAAGGCATTAATGATGGGAAGCCCCATGTTGTTTTCTCGAGTCAATGGCAAGTTCCTTATGGTGAGTCAACACTCCCATGATCCGGCAATTTATTGGGCTTAGTTTTCCATATTGTTGGTCATATTTTTTCATCATTGCTGGTGTTTTAGAGGGAAGCTTGGGCAAGCTGAGCAGGTGCCAGCCTGAAGTGACACTGAAGTGACTGCTGGGAGGGTAGGAGAAGTGGGAGGTTGACCTGAGTTCAAGTCCCTTTTCTGGATCTGATTTTTCTCACTTGTCAAGTGGATATTTGAACTCTGATTTCCATGCCCCCTCTGCCCTGGTATATTGTGAATCTTGTGCGTCCATGTCTGAAATTAATTTTGTTTTAATTTTGAAGACATGATATTTTGGTTCTTTTCTACCTAAAACCAACTGTTTTCCTAAATCACCTGTTCAGTTCTCTCCTAAACCAGCTGTTAATTTTATTTTGAGTAAGATTTCTCATAAAATCTAAAACCATCATTTCATTCAGAATCCAGAAATATTACTTAAAGACCCATTGTCTCTTTTTCTCTAGATAGGATGAGTTTATATGATGTATTTCAAATAAGAAATAAAAAATTAGAAATAGAAGGATATTCCCAAATTACGTTTGGGGATGTAGCATAATCTGCAGGTTAGTAAACAGTCTGTAAAAAATGTTTGGAGAAAAAATTCCTGTAATTACACAATCTCCTTTTCTCTCAAAAATATGTCCATTTCCTTGTTAGAACATGAAAGGGTAAAACTGATTATCATAACCTTGTAACTTTAAATCATAACAAAACCTAGATCAGGATATTTAGCTATTTGAGAGCAAATGCACTTGGTATAAGACTTTTCACCTTACAAATATGACCAGCATAGTAGCCCAACCATCCTTCAGATTCACATGCAGTAGATGCCCCGGTATGTGGTTATAAACATCCTGTCTTATAGATAATCAAAACTTCACCTCAAAAGTGATGCCATTGTCACTGAAAACCAGAGGGCAAAGTGACAGAAAAGATCGTGGCTTGGATTCAGTCACTGGCCATTAAAACCTGCAGGTTCTGCATATTTCCCTCAGGAGTGGACCAGCTCAGGAGATGAAAGGACCTAACCAGTAGCACAAGGTCTCCCACAAGCCTTTCCCCCTGGTTCTCTAGTTCCCCCAGGAAATTAGCTCCATTTCACAAGGGAAGGAGAAAAAGAAGTCAAAGAGGATGGGCAGGAGAATGAGAAAGCTCACTCCTAATTATTCAGTGGCTCCCCATTGCCTCCAGGGATGTGAGTTCCTCATTTAGACACTTAAGGCCCCCACCTTCTGTGCCAGCTAACATGACAGCCTCACCCACACCACAGGGGAAAATAGGGGCTGGGATCAAAGAGGTAACAGGGAGCCAGACCAGTCAAGACTCTGGTTCTGACTCCCAGTGAGGTGGGAGCCATTATAGGTTCCTAGCTAAGAATAACAAGATCCACCTTATGTTTTATTCAATGAACGAACTGTTGGTCTTGCCCAAAATGTCCACAGAGACATGTTGTCCATGCCAGATGCCCTTGATATTTGGTCCTGTCCAAAATGTTCATACTTAGAAAATACCCCTCAGGTTAAACAGCCCATTTATTTCTACTTTTGGTTTACAGGATTCATACATAAAAAATCCTATCATGTTTTACTGGTACAATAATTGTATTGTGGCTCTATTGCAAATAATAACCCTTCTCACCTCAGTAGCCTTGCTGGTAAAGACACATGCGGTGAGGTAGATAGGTGGGTGTGGGCCAGATGTCTCCATGGACGTTTTGGTACGTGATCAAATGTCCTGCAAGGGCTTTCTGCTTATTCATTCTTCTCAAATACACCCTACATTTCCAGCATATGAATCCCTTCACCCCAATGGGGGTCCAAGCATCCCTGCCAATAGCAATCTCATTCTACCGTTAGTGTCCCTCCTACATAAAGCTACCTTGATTCCTCTGGCAAGATTCTCTCCCTCCAACTCTAATCTTATATATGTCCAAAGTACTTGGCTTAGGCCAAGGTTTTGCATTTTCTGCCTTATACTTACTATTAGGAGTTAGATGGCAACATAGATATGTCTTGCTTTGAACCTCAGTTGGATTGCAAATCCCTCAGGCATGGATTACATTTTATACAGCAGAACAGTGCTATTATTTTAACTGTGAGAGAAGACAGGTGCCTCCACAAACTCGACTTAGTTTCAAGGTCCTTGACTATATGGCATCCAGATACCTGCCAACACTTTTGCCAACAGGTACAAAGTTCAAGTTCACCCACATTTCTAAATACAAAATGAGTGGGGATATTCATGTTTTAAAAAGTTAAGACCGAATTATCACCCAACCAGCTTTTCCCAACTAAACTGCTTTGGACATAAACACCTATTGTTACTTTTCAGATGAAATTCTGCAGGGGTTCATTGTCTCCATGCATTTTGGACTTGTTTTACATTGCTCTGTCATCTTTTTGCCATTACTTACTACATTTTTTTTACCTTCCCCACTAATATGTAAGTTCTTTTGGCATAGAGTCCTCACAGTTATTTATGGACCCTACCTGTCTCCTTACCCATAAATCCTTGCTCAAAAAATATTTGCAAGTGGAGTATTTGTGTGGATCTTCCAGGTCTTCTCCTAGTCTTCAATTGCAAAAGAGATACAAAAAGCAGAGGATCAAAGGTAAACTTCTGCCTCTCTTATACAGGATTTCGTGCCACTGTATCAAAACTTTGAGAATTTTTACACACGAAACATTTACATGAGAATCAGAGACAACTGGAACCGGCCCATTTGCAGTGCCCCAGGGCCTCTGTTTGACATGATGGAGAGGGTATCGGATGACTACAACTGGACATTTCGGTGAGGCAACCACCTGGAGGGGCTCGGTTGAAAGTAAATCCTTTCGAGAAAATCCTATCATGGCCACCAGATTACAGATGTGAAAACCCAAAGCAAGGAAGCAACTGGTCTTCCACCATTCAGCCTTTTGCAAGCCCTCATATGCAAGTGGGTGAAGTCACAGTAATTATGCTGCCAAGTGTGGCTTGTTTATATTATAATTTAAGCAAAACCTGTGTCAGAAGGTGCAGGATACACAGAGCCAGCAAGGAAAAGCCCTGTTCAGCTTTATTGGCAAATCATACCCTCCTATTTCTTGCTGAAGGAGACAATGATGACTGTGGCTTTTTCTCATTTAGAACGTTCTTGCTGGAATTTAAACCAGAGCACAGGTGTCATGAAAGCTAGTGCTCAAGGAAAATCAGGGCTAAGTAATATTGCATGACTTGGGATACACTCTACCCAGCTTCATTATGGATACTTTCCTCTAAGGACAAACCATTTTGTGGTGGCAACAATGCAAGTCTAAAAAAATATATATGATTTGGGCCAGAATGCAAGATCTCTTTGTGAGTCTTGCATGGGGCACTAGGATGATATTAAATGCAACAGTCCTTTGTGCTCACTTGCCCTTCTCTTGGCAGGTTCACTGGAAGAATCATCAAGGATGTCATCAACATGGGCTCCTACAACTTCCTTGGCCTAGCAGTCAGGTACGATGAATCTATGAGGACAGTGAAGGATGTTTTAGAGGCATATGGAGTAGGTGTGGCCAGTACCAGACATGAAATGGGTATGTATGTTCACTATTTTGAAATTTTATCTAGTTAGGTCTCAAATTACCTGTGGCTACTTCTCAAGTCCAGATTTTATCTAAACTGTGTGCCTCAAAAAGCTGTTATAAAATGCAAAAGGGAAAAGGTATATGAAAGTCTTCATGGAAATTTTGAATGCTTGTTCTTGCCAAATTGTTTACTAACTATAGATGTTAGTTCTTCAGAATAAAAAAAATGAATATTTTCTAACCATTATTATCTAAAATAGCAACTATTGTCTCTTTGGCCTGGTCCCTTTTTGGGTCCTTTCTCCCACCTTTCTTTTTCTTTTTTCTTTTTTAAACAGCTTTATTAAGGTATAATTGATATTCAAAAAAACTGTACTTATTTAATATATACAATTTAATGAATTTGGACACATGCATACACCCTTGAAACCATCACTGCAGTCAAAGTAATAAACATAGCCATCAACTCAGAAAGTTTCTTTGTGCCCCTTTTTTTGTGGTAAGAACACTTAACATGAGACCTACCGTTTTAACAAATTCTTAGGTGCACAATACAGTGTTGTTAACTATAGGCACTATGTGGTATACAGAGGATATCTAGAACTTATTCACTTGCATAACTGAAATGTTATACCCACTGAAAAATAACTTCTCACTTGGATTTGGCTTTTTCTCCCACTTTTCTGAATGATGTCCATCCCTGATCTTGATTTGTATATTGTCTGCCTCTGCTACTAAAACATAAGCTTCATTAAGGAAAGAATTGGCCTGTTCACTGTTGTACTGAATGAATAAATGAATGAATGAATGAATGAATGAATGATGAATGAATGGGCAAGGTAGAACAGACTGCTTATTTATTTCTTTTTTAGCTGAAATATTCTCTCTTATTCAAAGGAGTGAAATAGGAGAAAAGGAAACCACTACTCCACTGCACGGGGGAAGAGAGATGCAAGCTTCCTCTTGGAGAGTTCTTTGCTACTCCTGGCCCATTGTTTTCTTATGTGTCATCTCATTTAGTCCTCACAGAAAGCCTGTGCTATAGCTGGTGGCACAGTTGGTGTATTCCCATATTCTAGAGGAATAAACTAAAGATCATAGTGATTAAGCGATGGGCCCCTGGTGGCTTAGTAATCCCCTTAACTCCCAGTGTAGCTCAGTAGCTTCCCATCCAGGGTAATTATGCACGGCCTGTCCAAGAACCAGGAGCAAATATGCTAAAAGAGACTTACTATTAATGAAAAATGAGTCCTAAATTAGATAACCAGTTGGCAGAAGGGCTTTAAAAGCATATAATTATTCAGATCTGTGCAATAAATGACAACTCACATTGAACGAAGGAACTTTTTATCCAAATAGCCAGTAAGTACTTATCTAAAGCTCTAGAATTTATACATGGTTGCTCAAATTTTTTAAGAAAGAAATCTTACTTATCTTCATTTGAGGCATGAGGACTGGAGGTATGAAAAGCAGGGTATGAAAAGGTCACACTCCACTTAGAACTGGGTTGCTCCATTTGGCAATGGGGCAGAGGCTGGAAAAAGATCCTGGCCATGAGAGACATGGAGTCAGTAACCTTTGGGGATGTTTCCTCTGGTGCTAGTGACACCTAACACCAGGGTTATTAATGAACCAGGCAGAAAACACATTCCTGAATATAATAACACCCCCCCAACTCACTGAGACAGAGCATCCCCCCATCACAGACCACAGAACTGCAAGGGTGGGAGCTTGACAGAGCAAGGGTTTGCCTCCAGTGGAAGCTGCATGTGGAATATGGGTCCCTGACTCTGCAGGCCCAATAAACCCAGAGAACCCAAAGGCGATGCTCCCGGCTGGGACTGCCACAGCCTCAGTCCCCTCCCCACCTTCTCACCCTTCTGAATAGATGGGCTTTTAATATTCACCTGCTTCACTGAGCTCTCCTGCTCAAGCTCTAGGAAGATTTCAACAGTTTTCAAGTAAACAGTGAGAGAGCAAAATAGAAGTCGTCCACACTAATTGTAGGCAAATAAAAGGACTGAAAGCAAGGATATAAGCAATCCAAAATAAATAAGTAAACAGAGTACATTCAAAATACTTCTGCCGCATAAATAGTAACCTTAACATAACATATAAGAATTAGTAGCATAATTTTGAATGCCATTTATTCCAACAAATATAAGTAACTTTTGGAAAATGTATGTTATATAGTCTTAAGAAAATGTTTAATAGTGTAAATGGATTAATGATAAAAACTTGGGAATGCAGAGACTTAATTTTTAGTAACCAAATAGCTTCTTGAGGAACCAAAAGTAAAAGTTTAAGAATGTTTAATCACTTAAAAAAAAATACCTCTCAGCCTTTTAAAAAAAGTTTCCAATGTTCTAGGGGGGAAAGAACACAGAAGTTATATTTCAAAATAGGAAAATTAAGCAAAAAAGAATATCAAGAGGAAATATTTAGGTAGGTTCAACAACCTGTAGCTAAGGTTTGCGAGCTATTGGTTTAAGCTTGAGGAACAGGATGAAAAAATACAATGGAATCACTACACCCAAGCTGCTAAACTATTACAATCAAATAGGTTGAGGTTTGAGGATACAATTCTATTCCTATTTTAACTAGCCTGGGAACTTAAACTTTTGAACTTTCCAGGCCTGCATCAATGCCTGGATATATATCAAACCTCTGGATAGCCCTCTGACTACCTTGAAGGACTAGGGAAAGAATGGTCACCTATTCAGACCAGCTGGTATCCATTATCTAGACTTCTGGTTATCTGTAGGATGAACATCTCAGATCAATCCAGAGGCTAAGAATGTTAACCAAGTTAGTCTAAAAATTTTCAAGATGTATTTTATTTTGTGTGAAGTGAACACCATCTATGCTTAGGAGATCTAGTCTATCAGTAAAAACTGAAAAGTAAGTACTAGACACTCCAGAGAATCAGTGAAGATGGTTGGTTTTGATATCTGAACATGGCCCACCTGAAACACACTGGGGGTCCAGATTTCCAAAACCAGGAAAGGTTCAACTCAGGCAAACAGAGAGAAGCTTTGTCTTCTTTCTTTCCCCTGCCCCATTTTTCTTCTACAAGGGTGTGCAGTAGATGTGTAGCAGTAGGAGTATATTATTTGAATATGTGTGTGTGTGTGTGTGTGTGTGTGTGTGTGTGTGTGTGTGTGTGTGTGTGTTCTATAAGCCCTTTATGCTGCCATGGTTTCAGCCAGCAACTATTAGTAAGAAGTTCACTTCTAGCAAAGCAAACTCATGGAATGCCACAAGACTAACTGCCAATAAAAGTGCATCTCTACTTGTAGATTTTTCTTCCTTAGAGAAGGAAGGCCTTGTGTTTGATCCATCTCACTGGGGAAACCTGAATAGTATGCATACCTAAACAGTGCTTATTTGAGAACATTCCTTCAAATTATAACTGCAGTTTCAAGAAGTAGCCTTCAAATGTTTTCATTTTTAAAAGTCAGAAAGGACACATTGACTTAGGAATCAATACAACTGAATATAATAGGAAATTACTTTCCATCCTCAAGTTTCAGCTGTTATTTTCATGTTAGGTAAAATGTGCAAATTTGCTGAAATGTCTCTTCTTTTTTTTCCAAGTTTGAGAACATTGTCCTTAATCAATAGATGATCTGTCTCCCTCTTCATCTTCTGGACAAATTCTCTGCTATCATTCAAATCTAATTATCAAGGCTGTTGTGTTTTTTCTCAAATGTTTGTAGCTAGATCCAGGAAGTGTGCAGTCTTGCTAACCTGAGCTACTGAGTAAGGGGCCAGCCTGAATTTGCAAAATGTTGAAATCAAAGCCTATGTCAAATAAATATCATCTCACGGCCTTCAAGTTCTTATGGGAATGAGCAGTTTCTAAGAAACTATTACCAAGTAGAGATCTTGCATTCTTTTTAAAAAGCAAGTTTAATTAACATGGCTTTATGCAAATCAATGCTATAAACATGCTTTAAAGCAGTAGATTCAATTAAATAGGCTATTAAATATCCCCACCTCAATTAGTTTTACCTTCTTAATTTACACAGCAAACCCCATCTTCATAAACAGTGCCAATTCTTCTCAGACAAAATTATTGTAAAATCTGATTAATAAGATTTCATTGCCTTTCTCTCAAGCCTTTTTATTTTCATTTAAGAGTATTCGTAAGAGGAGAAGGACTCTCAGAGGAATTGTTTAGAAGTAGGAAAATGAGTGTGTATGTTGGCTTCTGAAAGCCTTTTGGAAATTTCCTAATACCTGTTATAGTTCTAACAAGGTAATTGGCCTTCTCTTGACAGTGATAGAAATTACAGCCCAGCCAAATTTCAACTAGCAGGGATATTTTTACAAATGTGGGATTTGGCCCTGTAGGTTCAACAGAGCCAAGCAAGCATAACAATTCAACAAAATATACCAATAATTTTCACAAGTATAATACTTGCCAGCAAAGTAATACCTGGGATAATCGAACAACATTAGAACTCATAGAATTTTAGAATTTGTAGATTAGCTACTACCTTCTCTCCACCCACACAAATACCATATACATGAAGTCTAGAGATTTTTTTAATGACTTGCCAGTCAATGTTCACACAGTGAGTAGGTCGAGAAGTCAAGACTAGACACTAGTCCTCCTGAGTCTCACGGAAGAGCTGTTTGCACTATCCCATATTGTTCATAGCTAAAACCAAAGACCATCTACATTAGGGCTCACCAAACTGCCCCCCGTTTTCTTACTGCTCCCAAGTTACAAATTTTTTTATAGTCTTAAGTAGTTTAAGAATAAAAATAAGAATAATATTTCGCAACATGTGAAATTATATGGAATTCAAATTTTAGTATTCATAAATGAAGTTTTATTGCAACAGAGCCACACCCATTCTTTTGTGTACTGTGTATGGCTGCTTAGACTTTATAAAGGCAGAGTTGAATCATTGCAACAGAGACCACATGGCCCTCTATAAATGTTTGCTGATATAGACAAATACTCAGCATCATAGCAACCTGGGAAGAACCCTGTAGATTTAATGCCATTGTCCAGGTTTCCAAATCCAGTGCATATTAGCACATATCAAACTTTAGCCTCCCTTACTTTAGACCAAAATCCCTGTCCCATCCAAATATACTAAGGACACTGCTGAACTTTCATTGACATAGCCACCTGGGTATATCCTTGAAAGCCACTGATACAAACTTGAGGAAGACCAAGGACAATGTCAATGTGTACTACTAACGTCCCACATTCAAGCAATTATCTCTGGGAATGGGAGCATCTGGGGTGGCAAGAGTACTTACTACTTGACAGAAATGTGATGCTTACCCATTTAATCCATACCCTCTTTATAATTCTAAAGAGTTAGATGGTGGTATAATCCAGGCCATTTTTTATCATTTTGGCATTTATATTTCTTCTAATACACAGGACATAACCTAAATACGACTTTTCACCTGGTATTGACTAGCAGAATTAAGAAGACTTGAGTTGCAGAGTCAAGGAATTTATCCAGGCTTCTTCTATTTTTTTCCTACTTATTTCATGTGTCTTTCCAACTCCTTCAGGGCAAACACCTGTTTATATTTTCTTGAGCTCTATACCAGCTGGACACCCTGTGTAGTGTGAACATATTGTAGTAAGCCAAGAAGGAGTAGGATAAGCTCTACAAGTAAAAAGTGGGGACTGAAAGACTACACAAGGGCCTATAAATTAATTTCCCTCCATGCTACCAGATAAAACTTAGCCATTTTATCATGCACCATGTCCAGAATTAATTCTCTGCTCTTTCACTGAAGTAAAGTAGAGAAAGGGTAATGGAATCACAACTGAGTGTTGACAAAGTCCCTAGTGTTTAATCTAACTTCCTTGTATAGTGGAGCAAACTAAAGTCCAAAAAGTCTCAGTAACTTTCCCAAGGTCACATAGCTAATGTGGTTCACAAACTCACGTGTGCAAGAAGTGTTGCTGAAGTGCTGTGTAAAGAAGTTGTTGTTGTTTTAAACAAGTTAAAGTTAACACTAAGCCCAAATCTAGCTGTTCTATTTTTAGGCCATGTTGGGGCTCCCATTCATCAAGAGAGAGCAAATGTTCTAGGGTATTATGCAGCTGGCAAACATCAAAGATGTTGTACTAAGCCCTACAAATGGTGAATTTTTTACCCTTATAGCACATCTCAATTCAGCTACTACATTTTCATTGAGTAAAGTGAAATAAGTAGAATGTAACCCTATCAAAATAATGCAGTTGTCTTTAGTGGGAAATTTTTTACAGTGCCTCACTTTTAAAATTTAAATTAAGTTCAATAAAATTTAAAACTCAGTTTCTCTATTGCACTAACCACTTGTAGCTAGGGGCTACCATATGGGGTCGTGCAGATCTAGAAATTATAGTGGCGGCAAACAGAATAATATAGGAGCATTGGGTTTGCTCTCAGTCAGGCATAAAGGGATTATGTATAGAAAGGGGTCAGAGAGTAAGCATATAAAAGAAAGTAAAGTGATGAAAACATGAACTTTGGAGTTAGACTAGATTATCTCTGTTGCTTTTTTTCTGTGACCTCTTTACACTTCAGCTTTTTTACCTGCAAAGTAATAATACCTGCATTATTGGGCTATTAAGATTAAATGAGATAAACTAACACCTAAATAGTGGGCTTTGAAATCTAACAGATTCCAAAGGTTCAATAAATTATAACTAGAGTTATTAGTATTTGTGAAAGTCATAGGATCTGTTTACATTTGAGTATGGGGAACTTCAGAGGGGTTATAACTTAATTATTTGTGGGATATAGGGTACAGAGAGAGAAATTTTGTGGCATTTTTGTAATTTTTACTGCATTATAAGGCATTTATATAGAAAAGTACACCAATCACAACTATTCAGCACAATGGATTTTCACAAAGTAATCATACCTGTGTAACTAGCACCCAGATCCAGAAATAGAACATTTAGAGAATCTCAAAGCTCTTCTCCTGCTCCCAGCAAAAGAAACCACCATCCTGACTTCCAACACTATAGGTTAGTTTTATCTGCTTGTAAATTTTATATAAATGGACTCATACAACCTGTATGAGTATATGTATAAGTGTCTGACTTCTTTCACTCTATCACAAATTTGTGAATTTTTTATGTTGATGTGGGGGGCAGTGACTTGTTCTTTCTCGTTGCTGTGTTGAATTCTACTATATAGATACTCCCACAATGCATCTGTCCATTCTATAGTAGATGGACATTTGGGCTGTTTCTATATTGGGACCATAGCAAGTATATCTGCTATGCACACTCTTACCTATGTGTTTTGGTGATGGGTATGTACTTGAGTTTTTATTCTCGGACTTGTTGAGAGAGAAGACTCACTCATCCTATTATTTCATGTGCAGGGACCTTGAATAAGCATAAAGAGTTGGAGGACCTTGTGGCTAAGTTCCTGAATGTAGAAGCAGCCATGGTCTTTGGGATGGGATTTGCAACTAACTCAATGAATATCCCTGCACTAGTTGGAAAGGTGAGAATTTGTTAACATAATTGTCTTCTGCTGTATTTTTCCTAAGAATTATAACTCTGAGAAGGCTCTTTGTTAGAGGTGTGGCTCAGAAGGTCATTTTCTGAGGAAAAGCCTAGTGGATGTCCAGGTTTTTAAATAAATGTACTGGCTTAGTCCAGCAGTAAGTTAGATTGGGCTTTTCACATGCCTCAGACTGAGTTGCCATTCACACTTTTCCAAATGCAATGTTTTTAACTGTAAAGCAGTGATGTTCTTGCTACATGGATGTCAATACAGTGAAAAATGAGAAAGCAAAAAAAGACCCCTGCCTTTCAGCAGGAACACACCAAAATTGTCCCAAATAATCCAGTATGGGATTGATAGGCCCCAGGAAGTCCACAACCCACCCCAAAGCATATTAGCTTTCCTGACAAACATCAATTCTTTATACAATAGCTGTTGCTTAACCAAAATCTTAAATGACCTTTTCTGCTGAAAATTATATGCAAATGACTGAAGATGTAACCCCTTAAAACAATGCCTGTCTCCATCAGCTAATTGCTGTATAGCATTTTATTCATATAGACAGCAGGTTAAACTTCCGGGCATTTAAAATTGAAGTGGGTTTGCGGATCAATGTTTCAAGTTCCTGTTCCCACGTTGTTTTTCCTTAATTTTATTTATTGACCTGTGTTTTATGTGCTTGTTTTCTAAACAGGGATGCCTCATTTTAAGTGATGAGTTAAACCATGCGTCTCTCGTGCTTGGGGCCCGACTGTCAGGTGCAACCATAAGGATCTTCAAACACAACAGTGAGTGTCATTATATTTAGCCAACATGTACCACTTGTTTCTAGAAGAAAGTGAAAATGATCGATGGGGCTTTGTCCTTGCTCTTCAAACTGGGAGCTTGGCCTAATGAAACACAATTATGTTTATGTTCACTACTGGCTCGTTAACCTCTGCTGACCCAGAACAAATGGTTGAAGTGCATTGAACACTCGGATTGTTAAGTGCAACCCAAACACATTAGCATCACTGTTATTAGTGGTCTTGCATTATGGCCTCTGAAGACATGACTGATCTCTTAGGGCCACCATTTAATTATCAGGAGTGTTATCACTCTTCCTTTTCTATTGCTGTGCCTTGGGGAAATGTGGAGGCCTGTTTAAGTCGTATGTTATAGTCGAGTAAAACATGACCTTCCTTAGCATAAAGCTGCCTTGCACTGTGCCCATCCACTGCGTTCTCAGATACAGCCCCCAACACAAGTAGTCTATTCAACTTCATTGAAACGATCTTTCAGGCTCTGCCTTGTGTGGCTGGGTGATGAGGAGGGGGCAGAGGTTACTTATTCTTGCTGACTTGATGGAGCAGCATGGGAAATATTAAGAAATACTTAAAAGGAACTGGTGGAGGACACCTGTGTTCTATTGTTCTATTGATTGTTGCATCACCGTAAGCAAATCCTTTAATCATTCACGTACTCAGTTTTTTCGTCTGTAATATAAGGGTGTTGAACTATATGGTGTGCAAGGGTCCTCCTGGTTCAGTTTCTGATTTTAATTCATTACTCTCATTGGAACTTTCCTTTCTTTCTGTGTGTGTACACGTGCGTGCACACACATACACACTCTTGTTTCCTCTCTTTTTTACCACCTTTCCCTCCTGCTTTTCTGTCCTCTCTAATTTTTCCTCTCTCTCTTCCTTGGCACTACCCTCATGCTCCAATGGCGTAACAAAGACCAAAGTGAGAAGAACAGTGACAGAGGACTGAGGAAGAATCATTCCAGTTGTTATGTTCACCTCGCAGAAATACCAAACCAAAGAACAAATGTCACACGGGAAGCAAAGCAAATGAGTGGGAGAATTCTGAAGTGAACCTCCTTTCTAACTTGTAGAGCTTTTCTAATGAAAAATCTCCTGCTTTTGCTGAATGGGGTGAGGCCTGGCTATGCCTTTCCTGAACCACCTTCAGCAGCTGTGCGAATATGCATACTCGGGAGTCGAGTTCAGAACCACATCCTCTGGAAGAACCAGACTTGAGGTTCCCTCCAACTTAGCTCAGTTACGACAGCCAGGTCAATGTCAATTCAAAATATCTAGTCTCCATTTCTTTACTGTGCATCAAACATTCAATCTTGGTTAGTCTCTGATAAGCCAAGTTATAGTCCTCCAGTTCTGTTTCATTTACCATTGATTGTCACATCTATACTCAAATTATTTTGAGTGTTGAAAATTCATGTTTAGAGTAGACATCTTTTAGGGGTTCAAGAAATGAATGTATTAAGAGACCACAGAAAATATCTATGGCACTAGCACAGTTATGCTATACCCTTTTGATTCTTTGGCATGACAGGTGATTGGTGATCAAATATTTCATCTACTTGGGGAAAAATAAAGAACAGTTGACAATTATTCGACTGTAGTTCCATCCATAGATATAGTTAAACATAATGATCTTATATAGTCCCCTTGTATAGTCCACTCTGCGTTGTCTCAGGACTGGTTTGTGTGATTAAAAGGATACAGTAGAAGAGATGATGTGTCACTCTTAAGATTATGTTTTAAAGACATTATGGCCTCTGCCTCTCCTTTCTTGGATCACACTTATGAGGATATTCAGGCACCAACCAACCATGGGAGAAGAATATCTTGACTCGTCTCCTGGCCTCACTTTAAGCCTTCAGATGACTGTAGCTCCAGCCAACATCTTGACTGCAGCCTCACAAGTTTCATGGGCCAGAATACCCAGCTAAGGTTCCCAAATTCCTGATCTGTAAAATCTACAAGATAATAATGTTTGTTGCTTTAAGCCTCTAAGTTCTGGGATAATGTGTTATATAACAATAGATAATTTATATAACTTCCCTGGCCACCATTGCTGGGGCTGAAGCTGGGCACCCAAGGATGACTTCCTACTTCTTCCTTCTTTGAATCTGGAATGAATAGCTCATTCTAAAATGAATGGCTCAGTAGAGCCTGAGTCCTTCAACACAGCTACTTTATGCACATGGTCACTTAAGATAAAGAGATTATCTGCATGGGTCCAGTAGAGTCCCAGAGATCCTTAACTGTGGAAAAGGAAGGAAGAAGAGTGTCAGAGATGTGATGTGAGGAAGATGTGAATGGCCATTTCTGGCTTTGAAGATAGAAGAAAGCCATAAGCCAAGGACTGCCAGAAGCCTCTAAAAGCTGCAAAAAGCAAGAAAACGGATTCTTCTCTGGAGCTTCCACAAAGGAAAGCAACCCTGCCAACACCTTGATTTTAGCCCAGTAAGACCCATGTCAGGTTTATGGCCTCCAGAACTGTGAGATAATAAATTTGTGTTGTTTCTAAGCCACTAAGTTTGTGCAAATTTCTTACAGCAGTAATAAGAAACTAATACACTTTCGTCCTTAGATACACAAAGCCTGTTCCCACCCACCAATGTGCTCAGTAGGACTTCTATCCATGAGCACACTCTCTATACTATTGTATTTACATCACAAAAATAGCACCTTTGACAGCAGTGGTACCTCCAAGGTCCTAACCTCCAGACTTCTTACTTGAGAAGTCAGGGAGTGAGAAAATACATGGAGGGGAGGGATTAAATTGAGTTGCAAAATGTATTGCATCGGTTGCTGCTGGCTCTTTCCTGTTCTGCTATTCCCACGATAATACTAAATCCCTCAATAAGCAATAATGCTTTACTCCTCAATATGCATCCACGCAGATGGGAATGATAATGTGAAGATTGTGTAACGATCTGCAGAGATGTACATCCTGTAGAGAGTTGCCTTCCTGTGTGTGTATGAGGCAAGCAACCAGCCCAGAGAGAAGAAGTTAATAACTTCTGAGACAGGTTCTGGAGGATGGCCACTTAAAAACCAGAATGTTCTTATATGTCAGAATTCTGGCTTTTCATACAACTCTACACATGTTCTGCTCCCCTGGACCTTCATCCACTTTGCATCCTCTGCTTACACCTTAAGGATACTGCCCTGACTTTTGGAAGAGAAGAGGTTCTATTTTATGTAGATCAGTACCAGAGGATGACCTTTGTTATTTAGAGCAACTCTAAATAAATCAAAATCCTGAACCTTTGAATTTTGAAACTCTTTATGGAAAAAATATACCTAAGATATAGTTAAGCCTAAGTTTATTACCTATCATAATAAACTTTGAATTGTTTGTGAACAGGCTTGACCAAGCTATTTGTCATTTCTCTTTCTTTATTTCCCACAAAATGAAACAAGGAAAAAATAAAACTAAACAGAAAAAGTTCTGAAAGGGGAAAAAATCAGAACAACCAAAGGCCCTAAGGACTCGGAAGTTCATTTGCAGCGGTGCTAAATTCAAAACTGGGTACCAGAATCCTTTATCACCATGGGTTAGTTCTTCCTGGATAGCAAATGTGAGCAGTTATTGAGATCATAGCCATCATGTATTCAGCATTTGCTGCTGCCAGGAAATACATCAAGCTCTTTACACAACCAGTTCATGTAATTTTAACAAAAACCCAGATTCATAGTTCTCTTCATTATTCATACTTATTGACAGAAAACCAATCATCGAAGTGATTAAATGACCCACCCAAGGTTACACAGCTGACAAATGATGAAAGTCAAAATCAAACACAAGTCTGTTGCTCTCGTCTTGGTTCATTTCTCCCAGGAGCAGACACTGAGACAAGGGTTTGGCCGACAGTCACTTAATCAGGAAATGATCCCGGGAAGCACCAGCAGGTGAGCAGAGAATGAAGACAGAAAAGGAAAGGCTGCCAGTAAAGGGCATGTTGTCAAGCAGGTTACCACAACAGACAAGTGGAGCGCAGTCCTACCAAAGAACTCTGGGCGGCTGTGTAGACAGATTTCAGTGTTATTCCATCTCAGGGGTAAGGGAGCTGGGGTGTTTATCCACTAATTCACGCTTGTGGTTGGTTGAAAGCTATCCCTACTCAGCCTGAGTTTGTTCCCACAGCCTGAAAAAAAAAATTCTTGAACCAAGGACGGCCTGTGTTTGCAATAAGGAGCTGGACTGAGAGATATAAGAAGGGCATGTACAGCATTTGCTAATGCTCTTACCCTCTAGCTAATTCCAGCTACTCTCAGGCCATGTGTGGGACCCAGAGGACTGTGGGCACGTGTGTAAAAATAAGTCTAGTGTTTTGGCTTATCCTGTTAGTAGCCTGCATTTCAACCCATAATGCTGAAGTTCGACTCTGAATTCCTCTGGCTCAAGGCTAAGAATATCTCCTTATATTTTCTACTGTGGGCAGTTTCAGTGAAACAGCCAAACCTTAGTTTGTTTTTGTGACTCACTAGGTGGCACAAAACAGACTCTCCAGCCATTGCACACCCTAAGCTAAGGCATCAACTCCAACCAGGGACCAAGTTTGATCTCCACTAGGATTTTAGTGTATTTGAAGGAATGGGCCAGAGCCCCTTGGGGCACTTGTCTGCTTTTGGTAAACACATCCTCTGGGCTGAGTATATTAACACCCTGAGCATGCCAGGACCTCAAACCCTTGTGTAAGGTTTAACTCTCTGGAAAGATCAACATCTTCTGTTGGAGATTTGGATATATCAAGACTGAGTGTCGTCTCCTCCCCACCCCCGCCAAATCTGCTCACTTTACTGGTAAATACATATGATCTAGATTCTAGAGCAATGTTTCTCAGACTTTCATGTACACAGGAGTCACTGAGGGTCTTGCTAAAATGCAGACTCTGTAGATCTGGGGTGGAATCTGAGTTTCTGAATCTCTGACAAGTTCCCAGGTACTGCCAATGTTGTTGGTGCAGGACCACACAGGAAACAGTGAGGCTGTA